TAGGTAGGTAGGTAGGTAGGTAAGTGTGTGTGCATGCATGCAAGTGTGTGAGTGAGTAGTGAATGAGTGAGTCAGTGAGGGAGTGAGTCAGTGAAAGATTGAGTAAATAAGCAAGCACATAAGTAAGGAATATCCCTGAATCGCCCCTCCAATACAATAATGCTAAGCAAACCCGATTCCACTACCTGTTAAGTTTAAGACTGACCCCAGGAGTTTGCCAAAGCGTTTCAGATTTGCACATCCGCGGGATCTCGAAGATGCGCAAGTAAAGTTCCACTTCCACAAAGAGAAAGGGCAATACACGTCTGCTTGGCACATTGAAGTGTTGCAGCTCCCTGGCCGTTCGGAGCGCGTTGCCTTGGGTGGCAAGTTGCTACACGACTACGATGTACGAGTGCATGGCCACATCGCCGAGTACCAGGACATGGACTCTTTCGGCTTTCTATCAGTGGAGATTGACTTCTCCGGCCTATCTCATGGTTCATCAGACTACCAGGCCCTGAGCAAGCTCTGTACCAGACTCTTCTTCCACAGCTCAGAGCTTCCGTACCAGCTGTGCTCTTGTCGCAGATCTTCGGACCTCTGCGGTACAAAGGTTGAGTTCAAAGTCGTGGTCGACAGCGAAAGCCAGCAGAAAGCTGTGAGGCTCTGCTTGCTGGAAGGCGTCGTTCCCAAGAGAAGGAAGTCCGACAATCACATCAGGTGCAGCCGGGCGCAGGAAAGGCGCGATCATCGTTTCATCTTCGAGGCTGACCTCGCAGATCCCTTCTTGGCTGAACAAGAAGAGCTTTTGGCAGCAGGTTTCCAGAGCTCGTGACACTCGTGACGTTCAATGCGAGTCTCTAGTTCAGCAGTGTCAGCGTGGGACACTTGAAGGTACAATGCCTTTGCAGCAGTCCGACCGCGAATGCATATCATATGAAGGGAGGAATCCTCACTCCCTGGTTCGAGTATGTTCGAGTATCATAAACATCTGCCGACAACAGCATGCATGCATCCAAAAAGCTATGACGTTCAGCAGCATGATCGTTCCTGTCACCGCCCGCATCAACATGATTACCAGCATCATCACCATCATACATAACATTATACCGCCACTACGAACACGAAGATCAGCACCATTGGCAGATAGTCCAGTGTTACGACATCTGAAAGGCCATGTGCTGGCGTGGATGCAAAGTGAGCTAATGATACATCAGGTTTGTCTCAAAACCCCCTAAGAAAGCCCAAACTGTATATCCTAAACTCCGAAAGGCCAAAGCCTAAACTTACATTTTTGAGCTTGAACCCAGGAGTGGAAACTCTGTTGACCCCTGCACCCTCCAATGATGAGTTTGATGGAAAACCGTGTCTACTGTGCTACTTTTAACAGCTTTGAGCTGTTGTGCATGGTTTGCATGCGCGGCTGCATAAGGCTCCTATGAGGATTCGCTTCTGCGGGATTCAGCCTAGACCCAGAACTCAAAACCGAGGGTTTCGCAAACGGAAACTGGGCGCGGTGTGGCGGAAGGTTGTTGCAACTTTGGACTCTGGTCTAGAGTATTATAGATAGGGATTCTCTTCCAGGTATGTAGGGCTCCTTATGGACACTGTGGTACATTTGGTCTATGTTTTGGAGGGGGTACTAGCAACAAGAACCCTGCTTTAGTATGCACTAGCAGTGATAGGTCTTAGTTCAAGACTTGCTTCGGCTGCGGCGTTGCAGGCACTGAGAAGTTAGAGTGAGAGGCGTAGGGGTTAAGGTTTAGTTTATGCTATTCAAGGGGTTGTGGGTTCAGGGTTTTAGAGCTTGTGGTTTAGGGGATTCAAGGGTCTAGGTTTTAATTCGACGGGGTTGAAGGTCCAGACCCTTAGTAGGGCTTACATTGGTTGGGCTTGGTGGTTTAGGGTCTTAGGTTTGAATTTAGTGCTTCAGTGTTCAGGGTTCCATGGCGCTTCTGTGGGGGCGAGGGTTGTTACAGGGCTTCTCTGGCTGACTCCGTGTCGAGGCCTTGCCTCACGGATTTTCCCGAGAGACTGGCTGCGAAGAGAGGTGAAAGTTTGGTGCACAGAAACACTAAAGACACCAATGCCAGACCCTGAACCCTCAAGCGCAGTAGCTGATGTCCGCTCCGTTCATTGAGCTACTGCCGAAAACTCAATACTCCAAGCTCAACCCTCTCCTGTTGCCAGTGCTTTGACTCGACATCTCATGTCATCATTGAATTTGTGTTGACATCCCAATCCGACCTCGCAGAGGGGCCTTTCCAAGTGTGAGTCTTCATGTTTCAGAGCGGACAGCCTTGACAAATTTGCGACCACCCTCACACTGCAAACCGTAAACATTAAACGGCAAAAGCCCAGAATGAAAACAAGGCGTTTTGGCCAGGCAGTTTTACTCAGTCTGCGATGCAGAAGATGTGGGGCACCAGCCGAATTTATTCTGTGTGCTTTTACTTCTGCATGTGTCAACCCTGTGATTCTAAAGCGGCTGTCAACGAATGGGTGTCTTCGTTAACGAGTCATCCTTATAATCCCTTCTTCGGGTCCCTTTTGCTTCTGAAGTTCGCAAATCTGGCATCACTGCAGGACCTCCTCTGGCTATGGCGGGTTCGCCGAGTCTTGGAACCGGTAAAGGTCCCTCGCCCTTGTGCTGGCGTGTGGCTTCGTTTGGTTGGTGCTGCTCTTTCTACTGTTGGTCAGTGCCGTCGCAGGAGTGCCAGACAAAGGACGAGGAGGAGGAGTAGGAGGAGTTGAAGGAGACGGAAAAGGAGAAGGAGAAGGACGAAAAGCAGCAACAGCAGCTGCAGCAGCAGCAGCAGCAGCAGCAGCAGCAGCAACAACCGTCATTGATGCTGTATGATATGATGAATGCGAGTGGGTCCGGGTGTGCACAGTTTCGAGGACCCAAGGTCACGACAATGCTCCGCCATGTGGTGGAACATTCTCACTTTGACAAGTCATTCGTTGCAGCTTTCATGAAGAACAACATTGCTCTCGAAAGCACTGCTTTGTGAGGGCATTAAGGTGAAAGGTTTTGAGTGTTTTTCGCGAAAGGCATGCTTGCTGCTGGAGTGTATTGTAATGCATGCACAGCAGGCGGCGACTCCTGCTCATCAACAATGCAAGCGTCCGTGCTACGATGGTGCAAAATAGCATGACCAACAAGAGCAACACTAAGAATGGAATAGTGCATAACGTTAACCCGTAAGAAGTTGACGTGAATGTCGAAGCGCACAGCAGTATCAGTGAGAATGACACAGGCATTACAGGTAATGAAGGCAAGGTAGCATGATAAGCTGTTCAACATGCCATGCGGAACATGTTGAGCAAGTTTTGAATATGCGAACTGTCGATGTCATTGGAGATGGTGTTGAGGATCATCTGGTTCTTTTCGATGAAGGACGTGTAGATTAGACTGCTCTCTTGAAGGTTCCTCATGGGCGCCGTGAGAGCAGCACAGGCTCTGACTTCCGCGATCCGGAGAAGGCGAATGTACGTGGACAGGACGGCATCCCATCACCCGACCTTGCGGAAGCCAGAGTCTAGCTGCTAGATCAGTGATAATAAACGATTTTTCAGTTTCTGATTGTAAGAATTCAATCCCACGAGCATACCTTCTCCTAATGGCAGCTCAGGGCACCAAGCTGGACGTTGCATGCCTCTTTGTGGAGGCCAAGGCTGACATGGGCAAGGCGCGAACTATCTGCCCCTTTGTTCCTTTGCAGAGTCCGAGTCTACCTCCAAGCAGCCTGATCCGCGAAGGAGCCAAAGAGGAGCGTTCATGACAGATCCGGAAGGGCAGCTGGAGGCAGCGCAGCTCTTGCTGGACGCAGCACTTGCTGGAAGCCAAAGCCGAAAAGGACACAAGCAATTCTTGCTTAAGCTGCAATTTCTTTGGCGTAAGTGGAAAAGATTACTGTTTCCACATTTATCCCCAATGGAGATTTTCGGAATCCAGTAGCTGAGCTTTGTGTGTCACACCGGAACGGATAAGTAAGGGATCCCCATCAGAAGCAGAGGACGCATCTGGAGATGGAAGTCACTATTGATTGTCAAGTCTCACTCCATTCGGAACGGTTAAGTAAGGGATCCCCATCAGAAGCAGAGGACGCATCTGGAGATGGAAGTCACTATGGTCAAGTCTCACTCCATTCCGCGCCGGTTTATTGTGGAAAGTGCAGACGATAACGATGATGTGTTACCGTCCCGGAAGTGATTTTTGCATTCGCATGGTACAACTAGTTCGTTACCGCGGTGAGGGGCCCTGCAGCCAAGCTGAAGTGGTGACGGCAAAGGCAAAACAGCAGCAGTCGCGCATGCTGTGCCCGCTATGACTTGTCAGTAGATGCTCATGCAGCAATCTGCTTGTGTAGACCATGTAGTAGAGAGGCTGTTGTCTGTGTGGATTGTGTTTCCACATGGCATGGCTACACTCTATAGTCATGGACGAGTTCTCACACTTCGTTTCCGTAGCCATTTGAGGGTCATGCGAGCAGCCATGTCATGTGGAGGGAAAAGGCCCGCCACTGAACACTTCATGCTATAACTGTAACAAGTTGTAGCCCAAACGAAGACGAGCAAGACCACTTTTCCGGTTTCACTGTGCATTGATGCCTGCGGAGTGGTTGAGTGGGCATTTGGACAGGAAGCATGTCGGCCGCAGCCTTGGTGACACTTAGACGGTTCTGAACCCACTCGACATCAGATGTACGACTGCTGTTACAGCCTGCAGCTGCCGTCTGCTGCTGCAATCTCTTGGTGTGCAGCCCTTGACGGAGGAAGCTTTACTTAAGTGCAAGAATGTGCCTATGATCAGAAACAACTTTCATAGATGAGACACTCGCGAAATCGAATCTACTCAGAAGCGTGCACGGTTTCAATGACTCGACAAGAATTGGCGGTGCCCTTTCAATTGTTCCGCAAACTAGCTGCTGTAGCAGCGTGCCTGCATGCTTCAAGTGATCAAAGCGTTTTTTTGAGCCCAAGATCCTGAAACGTCGCACCGCTTTTCAGAGTCAAAGTGTGTTAGCCTGCGTGGTTGTTGCCCGCACGCTCCAGATTTGAGAGGGCCAAAGAGGCTAGAGGCAAGGTGGTTGCAAATAATTACTTTTAGGAAAACAATAGGAATTCAATAGGATCTTGGGGTTCCTTTGGAATAGGAAAACAATAGGCTTTTGGATAGGATTTAGGAGTGGTCAGCTGAAGGGTTTTTATTTCTATAGGACT